CCATTTTTTATATCTTGGAGCCCTCACGAGAACTTCTGGGGCGTCGTCTTGTGGTAGGGGCAGTCTTTCGTCTTCATGTATATCTATCGCTTTATATATTTAAATAAAAATGTTTATTTATCTAAATAGAGCGACCAACGAGCCGCTAAATCAAGGTAGACAATGGAAAATTACCTTGGGTATGTACGCGAGAGGTAGACTTCGTTTTGTACACAGTATGGGACTATAAGAATGCATGATAGGTTCTTAGAGTCCATTGCGCTGAACTGTTCGGGTCGCTCTCAGGGGTCGGGTATAAAATACGGGTAATATATATTATATTTCAGAAATCTGCCTAAAGCTTAGCCCGATCCTGTCGTGTTAAGCCACATCCAAAATTCAAAACACAGGTGCTTTGATTAAGGTTTGCAGAGCTTCAGCATTTGCCATAAAAAAGCGAACAATTTGTTCCAAAACCATATAAATTATATATCACTGTAATCACAAAATTTCAATCTATTTCCGTATTGTAAGGGAAATTTAAATTATGGCTTTATTTTCGAGAAAATTTAGTCCAAACATAAGAAATATTTTGTTGATGTTTGACCATCAAAATCTTAAAAATAAAGAAGTCCCAAGTAGCATTGTCACGACTTGCGACCACATGTTTACTAAACACAACGTTGGATTAGTTACAAAAAATAGTTAGCTCCCTACCTTGGGTATTAAAATAAATTTAAACGTTTTTATAACGTTGTGCCGACGTTGGACTAGTACTACAGCAAAGTAGAAGCTTCTGCGACGTCGAATAAACGTTGTCTTGTAACCTTTTTTGCTTAAGTGATCTTTAGGTGATTCGGACAACGTAGTTACAACGTTGGACAATATAGAGTTTTCCGACGTCACTTTCAGGACCGTTGGTAGGACGTCGAGTCACTACCTTTTTGCAACTGTATTGAACCATAACCTTAAATCTTAAATTTTCACTTCATTGTTCTGTTCAGTCAGACAGTTCAGTGCTGTTTTTGTTTTTATAAAAAAAAACTTAATTGAAATGGGACATAAGAAAGGTACATATAAAACTAAATTTAAATATACATCGACATATATTACCGATAGTTTATCCACTCCGTCGTTTATTTAGATTATAGAGGGCGGCACAAGCTAGACTCTAGGATGACTAAATTAGGCAATCTTGCGACTAGTATACTACCTGTTAAGGCCGAACTGCGACTTTATTAGTCCAGTATGCGACTACTTGAACTACTCCATCTTAATCTCCAAAACAACAAAGTGAAAGCCGCCATGTTGTTAAATAAGAAAATGTTTCCTTCCTAAAATAGCAATTCCTGCTTTTTGAATACATTAACTTGAAATATTTGACCCTAAAAAACACGCGAAAACATTTTATTAAAAAAAAATTCAAGAAAATTTTTAAAGCTTCTTTAATTTTAAGGCCCATTAGTATTTTTCAAAGTAGAAACAATACATTTATCAATAAAGTTGTTTGCGTTTAACTGTTTTGCCTTGGGTAACGAGTTACAGGGTCGGTTAAAGTGTTTCAATAATTATGATCTTCAAACATCCTCCACACTTAAATACTTTTGTTTTGTTTTCCTTCACTGCCATCTGACATATGTCTCTAACTAAATCATAAAAATAATATTTTTACTATAATTATCCCAATTTAGGATAAAACGGAACTTAGACGCCATATTAGTTTTGTATTTCTGTGAATTAGGATTTTAAACAACATTGCAGTTTGTACTAAATTAGGCTTCTAATCAACGTCGGTATCCAACGTCGTTTCGACCCAAAAATTATTCTCCAAACTAGTGCAGACTAGGGTTGGCACGAGGTTGTGCCGACGTTGCGCCCCGACGCGACGTTTGGTCGCGTGACACAACGTTGTCCCGACGTCCAAATGCTGCTTGGGGTTGTTTAAAAATGTGCTACAATACGGATATAGTATAATCCTTTATCTTTAATTTCCTTCTTCATTTGTGTAAAAATACCTAGCCAGTTAAATGCCGAACGCTTATTTTGCTACTTTTTTGGACTACTGAAATGGACTCTTAACTAAATAAATCTGTTACAAAGAAATATAGAGGTGCAATTTAAAACATAAAACAAATTCAAAACTAAATTGCACTTTTATTAATCAAAAAACAAGACAGAAAAAACTGTAAACATTCATGTTATCACAATTCCTTTTATAAATCTTCAATAGAACAACAAAAACAACTCTATGTGATATATATTTTCAATCAATAACAGTAAATGTTCCTAAAGAATAATCAACCAATTACAACGATATTCCACACTTTTTTTTATAATCTAAACTAAAAAGATTCGATGAACTATAGAACCTTAAAACTAATATGGCAAAAATATAATACTATACAATGAGGTAAAAAATAATTGAAAAAATACTTCGTTGTAACAGAACAAAAAAAAATTGCAATGAACGCAAAAATAGGCACAAAGATAATAGTACGAGAGTTAGCAACGTCGGAAAAACAAGTATTTTAAAACGTCTAGCTCTTTGATATATATTTTACTATGCTCTCTAGAACAGCATGCGGCCCGTCTGGCTGCTGGTTAACGTTGCGTTCCCTACTGCGCATTGAAAGAAGATCCTATATTTTTTTTAGTCCTTTAAATTCTAGTATTGAATATAAATCGAAGACGTCTCCATAGCGCAGTGCGTAGAGTTTCCGACCACGAACCGACGATTCTGAGTTCGAATCCGGGTCAGGGCAAAGACTTTTTTATTTTATTTTCTTTTATATTCTGATTGTAAAGTATTAAATATATTTTTTTTAATTAACAGAATTATTTACCGTGAAATGGGGTGACTTTACCTCTTGGGGTGACTTTTCCAAATTCCGTCCGAAAATATGTTAGACGTAGCCGTAGCCACTACTTGAAAAGAACGCGTTATGTGTTATCGGTAAATTATGGGTGGAGGCGTCCCACGTCTCGGAACGTCGCTAAACGCTTGCCGTCAGTTGCGATGTAGCGTTTACAGTGCTGTGAAGCCAAATCTGTTTTAAAGCCTATTTTGTGCGTTTCAAACTTAGTTTAGTTAACCACGCTATATTGAGAATTGTGAAGTTCGTTATAATGTGGGGCGATGACATTTTACGTAATTATGCTGCTTTTTAAATGGAGATTGGCTTTTGAGTCTGTCAATAAGGCAAGAGACACCCCATATAACTTTGCCCATCGTTTTTACTTTTTATATATATATTTGTTTAATAAACAAAAAAGCGTATTATTCTTGTGTTGTCTTTATTACCACTTATAGCATAGACCATGCGCATTTGAGAAAATACAACAATTTTGATAATAAACACGATTTAAGATTCAGATCACCCCATTTAATACTTTAGTATCAGGAAAAACAAAATAAAAATAAAAAAGTTTTTTTAAAAAACTTTTTGCATTGACCCGGATTCGAACTCTTAATCATCGGTTCGCACTGCGCTATGGAGACGTGTTCGATTTATATTCAGTACACGAATTTATAGGATAGAGGTAATAAAAAATATACTTCTTCGATGCATTTCTGGCAATTTGGCAGCAGACGAGCCTGCTCTTCCAGAGAGCATAGTAAAAGATATCAGAGCCAGACGTCATAAAATACTTTCTCGAAAACATTTCTAGCTCTTAGACTATAACTTTTAAAGGGAAATTATGACTTTACCTTTGAGCATATACAGGTGAACCAGCTTGTATTCGGAAGACTCAGGAGGAAATGCAGATAAAGTACTGCCTTATAATGTATGTCCTAGTAGCAGTTTCAATACAGAGATTGTACATTTCATTTTTATTTCGATTTTTTTCCAAAAATAATTTCTGAGTAACGTAATATTTGGATGAAAATTGGTGTCATATAGTTTGATATGAAATTTGTGTGATATTTGTAAGAGGGCGCTACCTACATGTGTGTTTTTAACGTTTCGAAGAGTAATAACTTTTTTGTCAGTACCATTTTCCCCTATCTGCAAAAATAAAAAAAAAATTTTCTTATTTTTTTTACGTAAAGAATGTCTCTTGGTAAAAATCTCTACGAACAATCGTTTTCATGTCATTATTGACTAAAAATAAGCACATGTTGAAAGATAGTTATTGGACTAAAGAATTGGAAAAAATTTTATTTTTTAAATTATCATAAAAAATTTTTTTTCAAATAATAAAGACTTAAGTATTTTCATTTTTAAATTAAAAAAAAAAAAAAAAAAAAAATAATTTTCTAAAACTCGTGCCCGAGAAAGCATCAGGAGAATCAGCTTTGGGCTCAGTCAGAGCAAAAGGCTTCCCACCTAAATTTGAAAAAAATATTAATCCAACATGGGCATTTTTGAAGCAATTTTCAGTACATTTAAGTTCAAACTTTTTCAACTGTCAAAAAATTTCCACTAAAGTTCGTGGCGCCTCAGCGATCGCATGTTATTGGTTGAAATTGAAATTGGCTTCGAAAATGACGACACAAATATTTCAAAATTTATGATTTCCATTTCTATTAACTATTTGGTCAACATGGTTTTGTGTCAATATTGACGGGTATTGATAATTTCGACCTTGCTCGTAGCGATTTTATTAAGAAATCTTTTAAAGCACGTCGTAAATGTATATTTTTTTTTTTTACTTGTGTGGTTTTTATGGTACGGACGAAAAGTTATTTTTCTTCAAACCAGTTAAAAATGCGTAGGTGGCGCCCTCGGTAGGAGTCACAGTGACATCAAAATCGAATTTCTCTCATATCAAAAAACTCCCGAACACCAATTTTCATCCAAGCTTATTGATGTTACTTCAGAAGGTATTTGGAAAAAATCAAAAATGAAACTTCTACACCCTCTTACTCCCAAACTAAGCGTTTAGGACTTACGGTATAAGGAGAACTTTACTTATTTGTGCAGGAATATGCCGCTGGTTTTCCAGACCGAGACCACCAGCATACTCATCACTTGGCTTCGATAATCAAAGTATACCGAGAGTGGGTTGACACGGTGTACTTACATACTGCCATACAACTTAGTTGATAACTGCAGAGATGATGAGCAAAACTGCACCAATCGCATTGAAGCGACTATAAATGTGTTAGTGGATACAGTGTGTTTAACTGCGATCACTTTGCTAATGCCTAGATCAGTTTTTTCAGCTATTTTTAGCTGCTGTCGATTTGGATGGAATGATATAGACGAGGTATTGCCTGTACTTGAGATTTTAGCATCATTTTTTGATGTAATATCTGAAAGCAATGAATGATGATATGATTTAAGAAAATTTGAGTCTGTCTCGAAAAACGAGTCAGGGTAGATTTCAACCTTTGAATAAAAACGTGGACGCGCGTTTCGCTAACCATGTTAGCATCGTTAGCATCAATCAACAGATAATTAAAAACTCAAGTTTTAGTTTTTAATCATCTGCTGATGATGCTAACATGGTTAGCGAAACGCGCGTCCCGTGTAAAAGTGTTTTGGTGTATTGTGGTGATTTAATGTTTTATTTTGCTGTGTTAACACCAAAGGTTCCAACCCCCAACTGTAATCTATTACGGTTACCGAGATACCAATGCTCGTACCCCGAATTTGTAGCACCCTGTATTCCTGTATATACATACCTAGAGAATTCATTGGCTTCTTTTCTGGCTGTTTAGGTGCTTTCCCTGTGTTGTTAGTGGTTGATTGAGTATGTTTTTCTCGTTGGGAAATTATATTTTCTGAGAGAATAATCGAATTAGACGCTCTCAATTTTGCAGTCAGTGCCTTGTGTTTTTGTTCTTTACTTTGAGCCGATTTATTTTTGTAAGCATCTGAAACAATAATAAAAATAATAAATAAAGTAAATACGCTCCCTAGCAAAAAATTATGCCACCATAATATTCCGATTTTTAACCAAATTTTATGTTTTATAACTTTAATATTTTTTATCATATATTATATAAAATCTTTGATTGATTCATGTTTGTTTTTTTTATATATTTGTACACCTACCTAGAGGTTTCATTGATTTATTTTGTCTCAAATTAGATGCTCTTTCAGCGTCAGTACCACTTGACTTGGCGCTATATCCCTGATGAGATGTCTTCTCCGAAACACCTAGAGGAGGAACAATACCCTGAGACTTCGTGGATTTATTTTCTCCGAAATTAGATCCTCTTTCAGTGTCGGTACCGCTTGACTTCGCGCTATATCCCTGATGAGATGTCTTCTCTGAAGCACCTAGAGGAGGAACAATACCTAGAGATTTCGTGGATTTATTTTCTCCATAATTAGATGCTCTCTCAGTGTCGGTACCACTTGACTTGGCGCTATATCCCTGATGAGATGTCTTCTCTGAAGCACCTAGAGGAGGAGCAAAACCTAGAGATTTCGTGGATTTATTTTCTCCGAAATTAGATGCTCTTTCAGTGTCGGTACCATTTGACTTGGCGCTATATCCGTGATAAGATTTCTTCTCTGAAGCACCTAGAGAAGGAACAATATCTAGAGATTTCGTGGATTTATTTTCTCCCAAATTAGATGCTCTTTCAGCATCAGTACCACTTGACTTGGCGCTATATCCCTGATTAGATGTCTTCTCTGAAGCACCTAGAGAAGCAGCAAAACCTAGAGATTTCGTGGATTTATTTTCTTCGAAATTAGATGCTCTCTCAGTATCGGTACCACTTGACTTGGCGCCATATCCCTGATGAGATGTCTTCTCTGAAGCACCTAGAGAATGAACAATACCAAGAGATTTCGTGGATTTATTTTCTCCGAAATTAGATGCTCTTTCAGCATCAGTACCACTTGACTTCGCGCTATATCCCTGATGAGATGTCTTCTCTGAAGCACCTAGAGAAGGAACAATACCTAGAGATTTCGTGGAATTATTTTCTCCGAAATTAGATGATCTCTCAGTGTCGGTACCACTTGACTTGGCGCTATATCCCTGATGAGATTTCTTCTCTGAAGCACCTAGAAGAGGAACAATATCTAGAGATTTCGTGGATTTATTTTCTCCGAAATTAGATGCTCTTTCAACATCAGTACCACTTGACTTGGCACTATATCCGTGATGAGACGTCTTCTCTGAAGCTCTTAAAGGATGAGTAGCAATATTCTTTTGTTCTTTGAATTTATCTTTTTCGTGTTTATATTCACCTGAAACTGTACGAAATACTTTCTAAATTGGGCAAATCAATTATACAGGGTGGTCCGAAATGTATTCCGGAAACTTCGACATCATGTTTTGCTGATAAAAATAAGTAAAAAAGTTGCGAAAAAATGATGATAAAACAGTTTTTGTTGAACTTTTGACACAAAAACATTTCAAATTTATGATTTCAATCTAATAACTATTTAGTCAACATGTTGAACTTATGTCAATGATGACCGGTATTG